TAATAATAATAATAATAATAATAATACTATTATTCAAATTTACACATCAACCAACTAAAGCCAAAGATGAAGAACTTGGACAATTTTACCAACTTCTGTAGTCTGAAATTGACCAAAGATGCAATCAAGATGTATTAATGATTGCTAGTGATTGGAATGCTAATGTTGGAAAGAAAGCATCAGCTTTGGTACTTGGAAAATATGCCCTTGGTGACAGAAATGACACCAGAGAGCATATGACAGAATTTTGAAAGACCAATGATTTATTCACTGCAAATACATTTTTTTCAACAGCATAAATGGTGACTAAACACATGGACCTTGCCAGAAGGAATACACAGGAATCAGGCCAACTCTGTTTGTGGAAAAGGCAATAGAGAAGCTCAGTATCATCAGTCAGTACAAGGGCAGGAGCTGACTGTGGAACAGACCATCAACTGCTCATATGCAAGATAAGTTATAACTGAAGAAAATTAAAACAAGCCCATGCGAACCTAAATATGACCCTGATTATAACCCACCTTAATTTAGAGAGCATCTGAAGAAAAGATTTGATGCACTGAACACCAGTAACTGAAGATCAGACGAGTTGTAGGGTGACGTCAAGGACATAATCCATGAAGAGAACAAAAAGTCGTTAAAAAGAGAGGAAAGGAAGAAAAGACCAAAAGGGATGTCAGAAGAGACTCTGAAACTTACTCTCAAATGGAGAATAGTTACAGCGAATAGAAGAAATGATGAAGTAAAAGATTTGAACAGGAGATTTCAAACAGCAGCTCAAGAAGACAAAGTATTATAATTAAAGATGGAAAGACCTAGAATTAGAAAAACAAAAGGCAAGAACACACTCAGCATTTCTCAAGCTGAAAGAAGTGAAGAAAAGATTCAAGTCCAGAATTGCAATATTAAAGCATTTTATGTGCAAAATACTGAACAATGCGGGAAGCATCAAAAGAAAGTGGAAAGAATATAGAGTCACTGTAACAAAAATAATTGGTCAACATTCATTCATTTCAGGAGATAGTATAAGATCAAGAATCAATGATATCGAAGGAAGAAGTACAAGTTCACTGAAAGAACTGGCAAAAAAAACACAAGGCCCTAGGAATTGACAGAATACCCACTGAGATGTTACACCAGGAAATCAGAAAGACAGCTACCTGGCCAAGAGACTGGAAAAGATTGATATTTGTGCTCATCCCAAAGAAAGGTGATCCCACAGAATGTGGAAATAATAGAACAATATCATTAATACCACATGCAAGTAAAATTTTGCTGAAGATAATTCAAAACGGTTACAGCAGTATATTGACGGAAATTCCAGTAATGCAAGGTGGATTCAGAAGAGGATGAAGAACAGATGATATCATTGCTGATGTCAGATGGATCTTAGCTGAAAGCAAAGAATACCAGAAAAATGTATACCTTTGTTCTACTGACTATACAAAGGCATTTGACTGTGTGGATCACAGCAAATTATGAATAACATTGCAAAGAATGGGAATTCCAGAACACTTCACTGTGCTCATGAGGAACCTGTACATAAACCAAGATACTGTCATTCAAACAGAACAAAGGGATACTGCATGGTTTAAAATCAGGAAAGGTGTACATCAGGGTTGTACCCTTTTGCCATTTTTATTCAATCTGTATGCTGAGCAAATAATCAGAGAAGCTGGACTACGTGAAGAAGAATGTTGAATCAGGATTGGAGGAAGAATCACTAACAACTTGAGATATGCAGATGACACAACCCTGCTTGCAGAAAGTGAAGATGACTTGAAGCCCTTACTGATGAAGATCAAAGACTACAGTTTTCAGTATGGATTACACCTCCACATAAAGAAAACAAAAATCATCCCTACTGGACCAAATAAGCACATCACGATAAGTGGAGAAAAGATTGAGGTTGTCAGGGATTTCCTTTTACTTGGGTTCACAATCAACACCCATGGAAGCAGCAGTCAAGGAAGCAAACATTGTATTGCACTGGGCAAATCTACTGCAAAAGACCCCTGTAAAGTGTTAAGGGGAACAGATGTCACTTTGAAGACTAAGGTACCCTTGACTCAAGCCATGGTATTTTCAATTGCCTCACATGTATATGAAAGCTGGATAACAAATAATGAAGTGTGAAGAAGAGCTGATGCTTTCAAATTGTGATGTTGGCAAAGAATATTGAAAATACCATGGACTGCCAGAAGAATGAATAAATCTGTCCTGGAAGAAATGTAGCAATACTTCTAAGGAGAAGTATTGGCCAGATTTCATCTCACCTACTTTGGTCATGTTGTCAGAAGGGACCAGTGCCTAGAGAAGGATATCATGCATGGTAGGGGTCAGTGACAAAGGGAAAGACTCTCAACCAGACAGACTGGCACAGTGGCTACAATAATGGGCTCTAACATAGCAAGGATTATGAAGATGGCATAGGGTCACTATGAGTTAGACCCAACTCGATGGCACATAACAACAAATAATAATAACACGGGTCAGAATTGAATCAAAGGCGGTGGATTTGGTTTTTTCTTTTTTTTTTTTTTTTTT